AGTCATTTCATAACTCTTACTTCTAATTTAAACAAAGTAGAATTTTTCTATAAGAAAAAGCAAAAACTGTCTTAAAGGAAGTACAATCTAAAACACAATAGTATATAATAATAATAATAATAATAATAATAATAGTAATTATAATATATAAATAAATATTATTATAGAAGTTGTAATTACCTTATCATGAAAGGAAGATAAACATTATTATTATTATTCTAACAGTATATATATATAGAAAAATATATTTATGTAAGATGATTTAATATTCTGTTATTGTGTTGTGTAGATTCAGATTACCTTTACATATTTTATAAAATTTCAATTCATAGAATAAATTTTGAAAATTTTCTTCAGAATAAATCTAATTTTAAAAATTATTTATTTATTTACTTATTTATTTATTGAATTAATTAGAAGAAATTTCAATGCATTTCGAATAGATTCAATTAAACTGTTGCTATATAACATAATAAAAATTGATCTTGTTACTCAGTAAATTGCATAATCTAACACTGAAACGGTCTAATGCAGTGTTGAACGACTTGTGGATCGTGTGTCAGGATGTCTGTTCTATCTGATGTGCAATATTTATTATTTATACTATAATTTCTACTATAGATATTTCTTAAATTAATATACTATTCTTCCTGATTAATTTATTAGTATTTGAACTTATTATTTATGTATTTTTTACATAAAAATGCAATATAAAGCACTGAATGCCTGTCTTAGAATAAACGTGTATATTAACGATAAAATATATAAAATAAAATAAATTAGATTAAGGAAGGACAGACGGACAGACGGACGACATTGGGTGCGCAATTTGAAAATCGCAGCCTAATAAAGCATTGAAATTAAAGGAGGAATTGCGAAATTACCTTACATTTTCTTTATTAATACAGTCAAACCTGTGAACAACGACCAACGACGAGAACTTAAAAGAAAAAAAAATGGCCGTTGTTCGGAGGTGTCCGCTATTAGAGGTTATTATTTTATTATATTATTTAAATAATAAATTAATTATTTGACTCGTTATCGTTATTATTAATACATTATAATGTTATAAATACAGTATATATTTTTTTGATAAAAAGAATTTTTCTCTTAACATATGTAGTGTTATTTTTAGAAACAGATTTCTTATTTTCTGGATTTAATACAATTTAGAAAATGGAATATATAAAAGAAAACATAACAGTAAACAAGTTTGGAAACTTTTTATATAATGTTTTTTTTTCTTCAGATTTTCATGGTGTAATTTACTCCATTTATTATCAAAATCTCTTCGATAATAGAGATTACAAATCAATTTTTTTTTCTATATTTCCGGATTTTATCACTATTTAACTAATAAATTGCTTCTAAATCTTCATTTTTCTGAAGATATTTTTAAAAATTTAAGCTTTTAAGCTGTTAAACATTTATTTATTCGTCATATATAAGCAGTTCTCAACCTCTTACCACCGAGGGTACGCAAGAAGGATCCGTTTGTGCTATAAATTCAGGAAGCTCGGGTGGCATACGAGTGAAAAAAAAGATCGAAAATCGCTGCTATATACAGTAAAACCTGTTCAAAACGGAACTTGTATGAAACGGAAGCATGCCTAAGCGAAAAAAAAATCTTTTGGAACGGTGCGATTTTCTTTGTTAATTAAAAAAAACCTGTTTAAAGCGGAAACCTATCAAACCAGAAAAAATATTAGTAAATTCAACATAAGAATAAATAACCTGAAGTCAGAGGAGTTTGCCTTTAGGTTATTAATTTTTATATAGTATTTATTGCTCATTAAACATCAGAAATTTTTTTTTAAATGTTGCTTTTTTTAATAGCTTTAACTAACATTTTTTAACCAAAATTTTATCATTTTTAATAAATTTTGATAAGATTTATTTAATATAAGAGTAAATATTTAAATGATGACAGCATAAAATTTCTGAAGCACCCTTTAAAAAATGTTTATTATATTCCTACAAGTACGGCTGGAAATTTTGCGAGGTCTCTCAGTGGGCCCAGGCAAATTTCAATTAGGGAGGCCCCATGCAATGTGTTGACTTCGGGCATCTTTCTTCGAAGGAATGTTTTATAAAATCTTGGTTTGGGGCCTGCTATTGGTGGTGGCCCCAGGCAATTGACATTTTTTACCTATACCATAACGCCCCACTGAGATCTCGGAAAAAAGTTATTAGCGAGGCCCCAAATATTTGCCAAAAAATACTTTTTTTCTTTCTTTTTTTGTTTTTTTAATCAAATTTGAAAGCGCGTGGTCTTGATTTGAGGCCCGAAAAACCGAATTTTGAGTCGGCCCTGATTCAATTGCTCGTTATCCTACGGGAAGAAAGAACAACTTGTTTAAGGCCTCAAACAACAGAAGGCCCCCAAAACATTTTTCCTCAAAAAATTCCCGCGAAGAAAAATACCCGAATTGAACACCGTACGTGGGGCCTCCTAATTCAAATTCATCCGGGCCCCATATAGGTATAACGCTCCGTTTCCCCTGATAATATCCCTCGCTATAACATAAAACTGTTGGTCCTAAAAAAAAAAAAAACAAATTTCGGCTTAAACTAATTTGCATAAAGAAGAGGTTTGCTAGTTAATTTCTTAACTTAAATTTAATTATTTTTACCGAAAGAATTTAAATTAAGTAATTTTTTGGCTTTCATTACTATGAGTAAAATTATTTGGAACATTTTCCAAGCAGTTAAACTTTATTCATAAATTTTAAATTATTCTTGGTTTCAGATACAAAAATCAATAGGTAAATTCCATTACAAAAATGATTCTGATTTTTATCAGCCATTGTTTTTTATTTTCTTTTTTTTTTAAATTCTCCATTTATTTATTTATTTATTAAATGAATAAATAAGTATTTTTTTCCTTAAATTTTTAATTATACCAGTGTATACTTCCTTATGTTTAATCATTAAATAATAAATATGTAACTGTACTTCTGGATGTATTTATTTTTACATTATTGAGCAAATGTCAGAGGTTCATCTTATTTAGCTATATAATTTATTATACAGTGTAGTGTATATTTTAAAAATAAATAATTTAAAAAAAAATATATATATATATATACAAAANATTATACATTTAAAAACTGAAAAAAAAAAAAATATATATATATATATATATATATATATATTAAAGGCAACTAGACTAGAAAATTAATTCGAAAATGTGGCATTTGCAACGGAAAATCATTTACTTGATTAACGGATGAGCGAACGTTATTTGATTATTTATGTCACGTGACGACGACACGTTCCAGGTGAGGGCACGTGACTGCGGTCACGTGACTTTGGCCTTGGCCTATTTTATCTTCTACGCCAAAATCGTCCATTTTCAAATTGTCTTTTGTTTTACTTAGGAATTCACTAATTAAAAAGTCAGACAGAAAGGATAGAGTACAGTCAGGCTTGTGTGACATTATCAAATGGAGAAGCTTTTAACACTGGATAATATGCAAATTTGATACGAGTTTGTAACTTTATATATATATATATATACAATATTTTATATATTAATTAAATAAATATAATATGCATCTATAGTTATAACTTCATTGGAGAATTTAAATTAGAGGGACCCCCTCGTGTACAGTGACATTTTTCTAGTGGGTGGAGGGAATATTTTCTTATAAAATATTGGTTTGGGGCCTCCTGGTAAGGGGGCCCTAGAAAGTTTTTTCGTTTTTTTTCTCATAGGCTAGCATGAAAATGAGTTTAATGTATGGCCATCATTAATTAATTTTTGAATTATAATTAGTTATTTATTTTATTTAATAATTTATTTTAAATAAATAAATTTTATTCAGCAGTTTAATTTACTTATTTTAATTATAAAAATGAATGATAATTAATAAAGCTATAAAATTTTATCCATTGTTATATATACGCTGTAACTTATCTAATGTTATGAAAATTAATTAATATTTTATCTTTTAATAATTTAAAACAAAGAGTTTTTGGTTATATTACTACATTGAGTTTATTTATTTAAGGATATATACCTAATTTTTCCTAGAAAATAGGACTTTTAACGTTCATTCATTTTAATATTATGACTAGAAAGTAAAAATAGAATATGCGATAGTGATAAATTACACTTTCTAAATATTTAGAAAATATATTTTAAACGTTAGAAATGGCCATTTAATTTTATAATAAAAGAAAAAATATATATATTTTTATTCTTAAAATAAATTAAAATATCATTTTAAATATGGAAATTTTTCTGAATTTATTTTTAGAAAATAAATTCTATTTTTTTTTTTACGTTTTAATGTATATTAAATCCTCATTTCGTTTGCATAATAAATGATTTTTTAAAAAATTTTACAATGATGAAAGTCACGAGATAAATCAATGATTTAATGTAGAATTAATGTTGAATAATATAAATTTTTTAAATGAAAGGGATTATCCGAACATTCAGAGTTAAAATTCTGACATTTTTTTTTACTTTTAAAGTAGATAAAATTGGTGGAAAATGCTCATAATACGAAGCAAATTCGAGTTTATAGAAAGTAAACAATTATACTGTTTATTCCTATTAATTAGAGGAATAATTAATTACAATCAGTACGTAAAAAAAGTCAAAATGTGTATGTTAGGTAAAGGGTTCTATACCATTCAACGAATATTCGAAAATACCCTAGAAACTGGGACCCTAGAGGGATGAGATTTAGGGATAATCGGGGGGGGGGTTGGAAATCCCAAACCTCCAACTACCTTTAAATCCCATCCCTCTTAGTTTAATTCCAAGTAATTTATTATGTTTTACAGTTTCATTATTGTAAATACTCGGGTCAATAAATGTACATTTTAGTTACTAAGACCATTGTTTTTACCGACCTCAGCAAATCTCGAACAACACCAGGCACACGCAGCCATTTTATAATAATTTATAGGATTTAATGGCATTAATTTAATAATTAATTACTATAAAATAATTCCACAAAATTTAATTAATAAATAGAAATTATTTAAATTTTATAAAATGTAACTCTTATCCATTATAAAATGATTAATGTAACTTACCATAAACCATTTTATTTAATGGTTTAAAAATTGATCTTGTTACTCAGTAAATTGCATAATCTAACACTGAAACGGTCTAATGCAGTGTTGAACGACTTGTGGATCGTGTGTCAGGATGTCTGTTCTATCTGATGTGCAATATTTATTATTTATACTATAATTTCTTCATTACAAATAATTTTCTTTGAGATTTATCTATGCGAATTGTAGAATTATGGAAAGAAACTCAATTTCGATTCTTCAACTTTTAAACGAATCCAGAATTCTATTCTCTGACATATTCAGCATTTTTACGGTTAATAAACAATTTAATTAAAACATTTTTAGTCTATTTAAATTATTTTTAATCTTAAAAAAGGTTTCGTTACTTTGTAAAATTATAAAAATGCCACAAACTTTTATATGTTGGCAATTATTGAGAATTTCAAGTTTTCACTATTCATTAAGTTAATTATTCAATTATTAAAATATAATTAATATATTTATTTAGCTTATTTAAGTCGTGATAACATATAAGACTCACATAAAAAAAGAATATTTAAAGTAAATGTGAAGATACAAGTGAATTTAAAAGTGTAGAATATTCCAAACTACATGCTTCATAATTTACTTCTTAATATAAAAAGAGGATAATAAATAGATTTATTAACACATTTAGAATGCTTATAATGTAATTTTATGTAAAAGTTTTAAAAATTATTTAGAATTTCGTTGTTTTTTTACTCCAAAAACTTTGTTACTCAAATCGATGCATTTTGCAAATTCAATCACATTTAACATAATAAAATTAAAAATTATATGTGATATTTAATGGAAAAAAGTTTAAAAACATTCCAAATTATATTAAAATCGTAATTAATTAAATAAAAAATATAGTTTTATAATTAAAATTAAAATTCGATCGCTAAACATTCCATTTTGAAGTAGTTTTAGTTAAGAATAGTTAAGTTACGATGTTAAGTTCTTTAAAATATTNCGCATAGAGTTTAGCTACAGCCCCTTCTGGAGGCTTTCCCAGTAAATCCGGGTACATCAGGTATAAAACAATTGTGAGGCAGTGGCATGTTATCCTATGAGCAAATAGGGCAACTGTTTGGGACCCTCACCAACAGTGGGCTCCACACCAATCTTTTATAAGTAAATATTTCCCCCCAAAAATGTCTGAAGTCAACACTACTGTATGAGGGCCCATAATTCAAATTTGCCTGGGGCCCATAAAGCTATAATGTGTCACTGTTGTGAGGCATATTGTTTCATTGTTGCACCTCCTCTAAAGATTTCTAGATCCGCTACTGGGCGGTAAGTAGTATTTTTAAGGCCTTAAAAAAGTAAGGAATATTGAAAATTTATGCTTTTATAGATAAACATGTAAATGCAATTAGCATTTATGGATCAAGAATAGCTTTTAGCTCTTGATTATTCGATTTTGTACAATACAGTTCGAAAGTAAAAGATCATTTATTACATTTCTATAT